AAAGCCCCAGATGGGGTCATGGAGAGTCAGACACAACTGAAAAATGATTTAACAACAACAAAAATGCCTCTCAGACATCTTGAACCGAACATCTGGTAGAAATCTTAAACTCGATAGGTCAAAACCAGAACTCTTTCCTCCTTAAACCCTCCTCACCTCCTACTTGCCCTATTATTGTCGAGGGCACCACCATCCTCCCAGTGCCCCAGGCCACACGATCTCAGAGTCAACCTGGACTCCTCACCATCTCTCACCCCCCCATATCCAATATGGTGCCAAGGCCTGTCAATTTCACCTCTGCATTATCTCTCATCAGTTTCACCTCTGCAGCTTCTCTTGTCAGTTTCACCTTCCTTGCATTATCTCTCATCAGTTTCACCTCTGCAGCATCTCTTGTCAGTTTCACCCCCCCCTTGCATTATCTCTCATCAGTTTCACCTCTGCAGTATATCTCATCAGTTTCACCTCTGCAGCATCTCTTGAACTGCCCCCTCCTCTCCTCTGACCCCGTTAGCCCTCTGGTGCAGACCCTCAACGCCTCACACTCAGACTATTACAATAGCTGCTGGGGGTGTGTGCCTGCCTCAGGTCTCTCTCCCTACTCCAGTCCATCCTCCATTCAGTCACTGAAGTGATTTTCTAAAAGTGCAGGTCCAATCATGTCACCCCCTACTCCCCTCCAGCCCCCTCATTTTACAGGTGAGACAACTAAGGCCAGGGCAGTGAAATGAACTCACTCTGGGTGACCCAGTAAATAAGCATGTGAGGCAGTATTTAAATCCAGAAAGCAGCAGGGCCTGGATTCAAGCCAAAGGTCCTCAGACCTCAAATACGGAGCTCTTTGCCCTCCCTCCAATTCTAGACAAGCAGTCCTGTTTGTTTCTTGATGCAATCCACCACATCTGCCTTACTGCAGGGGGAGAGATGCTTCGGCCACTGCAGGCAGATCAGCCTGCTTACTCTCTCTCTCTCTATTTAATTATTAATTAGACCCCTGATGAACCAGTGCTCATTAGAGCTGGGCAGTGATGGATGTAGCTTCCAGGGCTGGCTACATCCTGGGGCTATATGCAGAAGCAGCTTGGCCCTGACAGGCCTGTACCCAAGGGGGCTGGTAATATTCTCAACCAGAGGAGGGGAGACAGCCCCTGTACCAGTGATGGGCATGAAAGGCACGAGGAAGAGGAGAGGGGGATATAGAATAAGAGGAAAGCAGAAACTGGGTGAGGAGGAGGAGGAGGAGGAGGAGGGGGAGGATCACAGTTACCTCCACTGTAAAATGAGGGAGACAAGCTCCAGGGTCCCTGCTAGTCTCAGGTTGATGATTCCATGAGTAAGAAGAGACCTTAGGTGATGACCAGATTTGAAGTTATTTAATGCTGAAAGATTTGCAAAGCATTTCCTCCAAACATGACCTCTGAAGCCATCTAGTCCAAACCCTAATTTTAAACCAGAAGACACTGAGGCTGAGGCAGGGCAGAAGATTCTGAGCTGAGCTGAAAGGGAATTTGATATAACTCCCCTAATTTTACAGATGAGCAAACTGAGGAACAGAAATTTGAAATGGCTCATTCAAGGTCACGCAGTGGTAGAGCCTAAGTCCTCTGACTCCAAACCCACCACTCTTTCCATCACACCACGATTCAAGGAGAAGATGGAGAAAAGGAAGGAGAAGGAGAAGAAGGATATGGAAGGACAAGAGAAGAAGGAGAAAAGAGGAACAAGAGAGGGAGGAGGAAAGGGAAGAGAAGGTAGTAATGGGGAAGAGGAAGGGGCTAAGGGGGCAGAGAGAGGAATAGGAAATGAAGAAGAAGAGGAGAGGATAGAATTTTCTATGTCTCTAAATATGCCAGGCCAAAAGCTCCCTGGAGCCAGTTGGTTGAGCTAATGGGTAAGACAGAAGGGCCACAAAGAGATGGCGGTTATCCCATTAAAGTGAGAGGAGAGCCGAAAAACAAAAGTAGATGCTCCCAGGCAGTGCACAAAGCCCAGAACACGTGGAAGGAATCAAGAGGAATCAACAAGAGGCTGGAGAAGGGGAGACTAAAAAGGAGAGAAGAGAAAGGACAAATTAAGCTGAACGTGTTCTAGTGTGACTTCATGGGGGCTGGGAGCTGCCAGGGAGCAAACTGCTACCAGCGGAGGCCAACTCTTGCTCTGCAATCTAAAGCCCAGTTCCCTGGAATGCCCAGGGTCCCACAGCCATTATGTGTCAGGGGCAGAACTGGAATCTTTCATATAATTATGTTAATTTAATTAAAGAGACAACTTTAATGCCTGTATGTGTGGGGAAGATGAATTTATGAACCAAGCCTACCAGGCTCCATGGGTCCATAGAACATTAAACTCAGTCCCAGGCTGGGGAAGTGACTTATCCAAGGTCACATAGGCAGCAAAGAGCAGACAGAATTCAAATCTTGGTCCTCTGACTCTGAATCTAGTCATCTGTAAGTGAGGCAATGGGGAAAGCCCCAGGCCTGGAGTTAGAGGACCTGGTTTGAATCCCAAATCAGCTTCTTGCTTCCTACCTGGGTGACTCCAGGCAAATGAGTAGACTGTAATAAGTGACCTCCAAGATCTCTTCTACCTCACAATCTATGATTCCTGGAGGATCCTGAGTTACACGGTCGATGTTTCACTCTGACGTTCTTCATGGCTTAGATCAGCATGCCAACAACCAATCGACAGGAACCAGTTCTAAATTTCACAGCATCCCGTCTCATCAACCACCAATTGTGCCGCCTGCCTCGGAGCACAATTCATCCCAGAGTTTCTGAGGACTGTCTTTGGCTCACAGGAGCTTGGAATTGGAAGAGAGCTGAGTCTAATCATCCACGCTATTGTTGAATTCACTCTGCAACCCAGATTTCTTGTCATGTTCCCATGATGGGGAACTGGACTCCTTGACAAGATCTTCTATTCCATTTCAGATAACTCAAATTGTTAGGAAGGTTTTTATTTCCCCTCTCTTACACTAAGCCACCTCATTCAAACTCAGCTCAACATTGGGTGGGCTCCCTGTGAGGAATCTATAGGAGGACATAGACAAGAGTCACCCAGCAAGGGCAGGCTGCAATTTGTATCATCGGAGGGAACATCTTATCAATGAGATCACAGAACCGGGGAAGTATTTGAGTACACTCAGACAAAGCCTGCCCCCACTCTCCAATGACGCAGGTATTTCTCTATTTTTCATCAGCAATTCTGCTTAGCTTGATTCCGCTGAACACCATGCTGCAACCTCCCACCCCCCTTCCCCAGGATCAGCTGATCGCCTGAAGTCTCATCACCATAGAGATTGACTCAGAGTTGCCCCTTAGTTGCCCCTCTCCTTTGATTGGAAGGCTCAAGGGAGGTGATAAATTCCTCCCAAATCTTTCTTTATAGAGGATGCCCAGGTAACTCTCCATATTCCATCAGCAGCTCAGCTTGGTTTCAGCTCCACAGAACATCTTGGCCCCACACCATGGTCTCCCTGGTGAGCCCCTCTCCCACCCCTTTTCTTTTTCTTTTGCATATTGGCAACCAGACAACTGTCTTCTTTTCTCAATGACCAGTGAGGTTAAGTGATTTGCCCAAGGTCATACAGTCAGTGATGGACAAAGGCAGAATTGGAACTCAGGTTCTCAGGTTCTTTTCTCATTAGGTTATAAGCCTCTGTAGTGCAAAGACTCTCTTTTTCTTATTTGTATCCCCAGTGTTTAACACAGTGCCTCGTACATAATAGGCATTTAATAAATGCTTATTTTAGTGAATTGACTTGAACCCATAGAATTTGAGAGTTGGAAGGGACCACAGAGGCCACTCAGTCCAACGTGTCTCTAAAATCCCATTTACGATGGTCTTGATAAGCGATCAGCCCGTGGCTCCTGGTTCTCTCCTCTGGAACCAGACCATATAAATTCAATCCCCCTCTCCTACATGGTAGCCCATCAAGTATTTGAGGATGACAATCATTCCCCAACACCTAAGTCTTCTCCAGGCTGAATATTCCCATTTCCTTGAACTAATTCTTGTGACTATAAATTACAGGATTACAGATGAAGCAGGAGCTCTTTATTTTCAGTCCATAAACTTGTTGGGTTTTGTTTTTAATATCTTGATAACTTCACTAAATAAAGTTGTTTTCCTGTGTAATCCTATGTATTTTATTTTATGCATTTAAAACCATTATTCTGGGAAGAGGTCCAGAGGCTTCACTGAGGAATATGACATAAACAAGTCTAATAACCCCTAATATAGGGATATCAGGGGCCTCAGAAGGCATCTGACCCAACTGTTTTTTTTTTTCCAGATAAGCAAATTGAGGACCATTGAGGTCCAAGGTCAATTGACAAAGGCAGGATTAGAATTCAGATCCCATTGTTCCATACTGCCTCACCATCTTCACTTGGATAACTTCCAGCTCTTGACGCCCAGCAAAATGAGCACAGGACTCCAGATTGGACCAATTAGGGCAGAGGCCTCTCACCTCTCACCTCCAGGTCATCCTGGACCCTTTGCCTCTAGAACATATAGCCCAAGACACCACCTGATGTCTTGGCTGCCACATCACATTGGTGACTCTTTGAGCTGCCACTTGCCTGTGTGACCCTGGGCAGGGTCCTAAAATACCTTGAAGCTCTCTGAGTCTCAGTTTCCTCACTTCTAAAATGGAGGGTTAAACTGTATGACTTGTAATGTCCCTCTCAGCTCTCCACTGATGGTCCCATGATCTCCTATAGTCATTACATTTCCCACATGAATTGCCCTTTTTTGTCCCATCCTACCCCTCTCATACAGTGGATTTTTTAAAACCTTAAGGCATTTCATTGTATTAGATTCAATCTATGACTCTAGCCTGCCAAGACCTTTTTGGATCTGGACTCTACGATCGAATGTTAGCCATTTTCTCCAGCTTTGAATCATCTGCACATTTGATGAGGGTGCCCTCCATGGCTTCATTCGGGTCATTGATGTAAAGGTTGATAAGAAGGGCCCAGAGGCCCAGTATGGCTTACCTTAATGTGAACCTTCTCTAGCTCTTCCTTACTGACTGTCATCTGGGGGTCCTCGACATTTGACAGGAGAAGCTGCACATCAGACAGGAGAGCGTGGGTCCTCCGCAGGTCTCGGCGGAGGCGTTTTTCCACGTCAAAGTCTCGATGACCAATCTGGAGACCAAAGGCATAGAGGTTAGCCTTGAATGGAAGCAAGAGGGACTAGGGGTTCATCACTTAAGCAGAGTCCCTTAATTTGAATGGCACCTTGGCCTATGGTGATCATTCATCTCAGATTCTCAAAACCATTTATTAAAAGGACTACTATGTGCATATAAGGTCCTGGGAATTCAGAGACATGAATGAAACCATGGGAAAAGTGCTGGGTTTGGCATTAGAAGACATTGTTGGAAAGTCCAAGTCTATTCCTTCCTTAGTAGCTGTGTGACTCTGAGCCAGTCACTGAAGTCCTCTGGGCCTCAGTTTGCTCTGAAGGAAAATGAGTGGGTTGTAACAGGGGAGATCCAAGGTCCTTTCTAGCTCTGAATGTAAAATCCTGTGATCCTATATTAATAGTCCTTACCCTCTAGAGGTTTACATTCTACTGGTAGGAGAGATATAATAAGTGTAGAGATACATAATTACAAGATAATTTGAGAAGAAAAAAAAAAAAAGAGAAATATTCTCAAAGGAGAGGCTTCCTGGAGGAAGTAGTATATGAGTGGAGCAATGAAGGAAGGTTTTGAGATGGTATTTTTGGCATGACGGTTGGAGGACTATAATCACTGTTCAAGTGCATGGAGGTTGGCTATGACATGTCACCTGGAAGGGGGAAGGGGAGATGAGCCCACTTGTTGGGGATGTTGTTTAGATTGCTCTTGGCTCCTATTGGCTGCTGCCATCTTTTCCAACTCTGAGGCTGAAGCTCTATTCCATATGACATGAGAGGTGGTGCATGCCCACTCACATGGAACACCCTGGCTCCTGAAAATGAATTGAGGCTATGAATTGAACAAGTCCATTCCTTGGGCTCAGCTGTAGAAATCAGCCCTCTCCAACTGGGCCAACCCAAGAGTACAATTGCCTTTGTCATCAGAAGGTGAAAGACACTAAGGAAAAACCATTAAGCACTGGTTTATAGGGTCAGAGGTGATGAGGTCATGGAATGAATAGGTGGTGCAACAGAGTAAGTGTCAGGAAGACCTGAGTTCAAATCCAGTCTCAGACACTTACTAACTGTATATGACCCTGGGCAAGTCACTTAACCTCTGTCCGCCTCAAGTTTCCTCATCTATGAAATAACAGCACCTATTTCACAGGGTTGCTTTGAGAATAAAATGAAATAAATAATTGCAAAGTGCTTAGCACAATGCATGGCACGTAGTACTAGCTTAATAAATGCTTGTTTCCTTCCTTCTTAGAGTTTCTGAGAGGTCCTCAAGTCCAACCCTCTTCTCTAACAGATAAAGAAACAGAGATCCACTTCTCTAGTTGAATGACTTGCCCAAGGCCATACAAGTATTAAGTCTCAGAGCTGGTATTCGAAGGCAGGTCCTCTGATGCCATGGGGCATTTCATGATCATCAACCCTCCAGACACAGAGTCAGCTAATTCGACATTAACTTCCACATGTGAAGAAAAACATGATTTAAGACTTAGGGTGTGTTTTGTGCATTTAGATATAAGCTTATGATTTTTATTAAAAAAAACAACACTTTAACAGGACTGAAAAAACAATGAGATAAAAACAATTAAATTAATAAAACAGGCTTGCTTTTTCTGTTAAAGCAATGAAAGTTTGTTTGTTTAACAAATTTATTTCTTTCTAAAATTCATTATCTATGCTGCCATGAATCTTGTTTCGTAGCAGGCAGGGTATAATTTCTTCTAACAAAACAAACGCATCAACCTAATTCATTATTAACTTAAGGAAGTTGGGTTTTTTAATTCACTTTGGGAATACAGAGGGATTTTTTTCTTATTTTTCTTTTTTTTAATTTGGAAACACACAGGTTTCTGATTCTATGGAATTCTTTGTCTTTATCATTAGCTCTCCTTTAGGAAGGACTTTTCTGGTTCATGCAAAGCATGTTCCTCCCCACAAACTTGGGAGGAAGGTATGAGTACTAGAAGGTCACAAATGTGAGCCTAGAAAGGAACTCAGAGACCAGATGGTTGAACCCCCTCATTTGACAAAGGTCAGAGGTTAAATGACTTAGGTAACACTGCTAATAAGGGGAAGAATGACAATTCAAATACAAGTTTTCTGGCTCCATATCCCATTCTCTTTTTCCACTATTCTTTTTTTATTATTCTTATTTTAAAGGAGTGTAAACCGAGGCTCCTTAAAATATATACTGTATGCATTCCTTGGATGGAATGCTGGGCTTGGAGTCAGAAAGACTTGAGTTCAAATCCAGCCCCTTCCTAGCCGTGTCACCCTTAGTCACTTAACTTCTCTCTGCCTCAGTTTCCTCATCTGTAAAGTGAGGATAATGATAGCACCTAGCAGGAAGGGTTGTTGGGAGGATCAAATAAGATACTATTTTTAAAGCCCTTAGCGCAGTGCCTGGGACATAACATGCTTATTAAATGCTTGTTCTCTTTCCATTTCTCCTCAAGGTCATAGAGATAATAAATGCCAAAGTGGTGCCTGGAACCTAGATTGTCCATTTACTATGCTGCCATATTGTTTTTGAAGCCCTGAATTCTCTGGACTTCGGTAGGCCCCAGTGACCAATGTGCAGACAGGCTGGTTAATTTGGAAATGAGCTCAATTCTGCAAAGGCAGTTTAACAGACATGGCTGCTTCCTTTCCTGGAAGCAAATCCTGGCCCAAGAGATTTAAGACCTTAGAGTCCTGCAAACCCAGGGCACTGCTATCAACATTCAGTCACTGTAGAAGAAACCTTACAGGGGCTTTGCTAGAGAGATGGCTCACCCCATTCCACATATACGCCACCGTTACCAAGGTTACTGACAAAGACCAACCAGAGGGGGAAGGAGATGAGTGAGAGGATGCTGTGGGGCAGAGGAACCCAGACAGTGGCTTTTCATTATTACTGCCAGGTGCCAGGGCACCTCTACAGTTCAGACAGAGACAGAGCCTGCTTATTAGAGATTGCAACATGGAGGCAGAAGGGGAAGGCGGGCTAAACATTGCCAGATGAGGGCTTTCTTCAGGGAACCGGGGGAGCTGGCTTAAAGGCATCGACATTGGCAACTTAGAGAAGCTAGTGCCCATATTCCTCAGCATCTAAGGAACTGGAGGAGAGCAGAGAGAGCGGGGCAGCAGCCAACCAAGCCGGGGCTTGAAAAGAGGAGTGATGCCAGTGTGCAGGTATCCAAGCAATGAGATCCTTGTGCCTTCCTTCTGTGCAATTCCCCAAGCAAAACAGTCACCTAGCCCTGGGGCTTTCTGTCAATCTGAACTTAAGCCTCTTTGGAAAAGAAACTGACAGGCTTTTTCAACAACCAAAACTCCCAGAAAATAGACAAGACATGTCTAGTTCTTACTTGACTAAAATCTGCTAACAACCCAGAAAGCAATTCACTTCTCCATCATTTTGGGGCTTCACTTTAATGCATTTGAATTCAAAGTAACTCAGTTCAACAAACTCTTATTAAGCACATGCTATGTGCCTGACTCTGCATTAGTTGTTGGGGGGAGGGGTGTGACAAATTCAAAAAGGAAACCATCGGGGCAGCTATGTGGTGCAGTGGATAGAGCACTGGCCCTGGAGTCAGGATGACCTGAGTTCAAATCCAGGCTCAGACACATAACACTTATTAGCTGTGTGACTCTGGGCAAGTCACTTAACCCCAATTGCCTCACCAAAAAAAAAAAAAAAACAGGAAACCATCCTGCCCTTCAGTAGTTTATCTTCTATTCGGTATCTATACCAAGCATGGGACAATCAAGGGAAAAAGCTCTGGATTTGGAGTGAGAGGCCATGGGCACTGGAGAGATTCCAAAGTGATCCCAAGTATACCTCTTTCTCTCTTCCTTTCTTCATCTGTACCAAGGTAGGTCTGAGGGTATGTGGAGCCATGGGATCATAGATTTAAAGTTGGAAAGGTGATCAAAGTCATCTAATCTGATACTCCTCATCTTGCAGAAAACGAAATAGGTTAAGTGACTTATCCAAGGTCACAGTTATTAAGCAGCAGAGCTGAGACTTGAACCCCTGACTTTAAATCTAGCACTCCTGACACTGTGCTTTATTATTCCTCTCAAGGAGTCCCTGGAATGTCCTTTAGTTTAGGGTGGTGCTTCTTAATCTTTTTCATACCATGGACCCCTTTGGCAGTCAGGTGAAACCTTCTCAGAATAATATTTTTAATTAATTGATGGGAATACTAAATCTGTTAGAGGTCAGTGAAAATAAAGATGTGATCCTTTTCCCATCCAAGTTTGCATACTCTTTGAAATCTGTCCATGGTCCATGAAACCCAGGTTGAGAGAAATATATTTCCCATAGCTTAGAGGAACTAGATGGAGGCCTGAATTTCTTTTCTAGATCTGGTGGCCTCTGAAAAAACAGCTGGCCCTGAGTTCCAAGTGGGCTTCTCCACCCTGTCTCTGTCCCTTGACTGCTCTCCAGCAGCTACTTGAAGGATTCCCAACACCTGGGCAGGACATATGAGAAACATACGAGCAGGAGATGTCTAGGACATGGGTCCTTGGGGCTGTCCCTAATAGGAAATACCACAGTCCAGCCAGGATCAATGGGGAAGTTGCCAAGAAGCCAACTGAGAATTAATGGCAGTGGGAAAAGAAAAAAAAGCTATCCAAAAATGGAAAAACTACCTTGGAAGGTAAATGGGTTCATTGTCGTTGAACTTCTTCAGGCAAAGACCACATAACCACTCATTGGGAATGCTGTAGAGGGGGGAGTCTTGTTAAGGTGTGGGTTGGGCCAGTTGGACCATTGCAGTCCCTTTCCAACTAGGAGATTTTGTGATGCTGTGTTTAAGTATGGTAGGAAATGAGAGGCAGCTGCTCTGGCCACAGCCATTGAATATGGAGTGAAGGAGGTGAGGAAATGAAGAGAAATCACGTGAAGAATGTAAGCTCCTTGAGGGCAGAGACTACTTTCAGCCTTTGTAGCTCCCTGCTTAGTATAGTGCCTACAATATAGTAGGTGCTACATAAATGCTTGTTGGATGACTAATAGTAGACTGGGGTCATGAAGTTCCCATCCTTTCCTAAGTCTGTGGCTTTGCTCACCTACCAGCCCCCTTCCTTTCCTAGCTGCCTAGCAAATGTGATCCCTATTCATCTTCCTGTCATACAACTCCTACCTACAGATGAGTAGCACTGATCCTGTGTCTCTCCCAGAATGTTATCAAGAGCTTTCCAGTACTTGCACACAGGATAGTGTGATATAAAGTAATGAGGATCATTTGGAGTCAAGGGAACTAGGCCTTCCCCGTATGTGTGTGACCTAGGGCAAGTCACTTAACCATTTTTGGCCTGAGTTTTTTTTTTCCTCCTAAAAATACTAGATGGCTTGAGAGGCCCCTTCTAGCTCTAAATCTCTGCTCTTATGATTTCAGGATATATGAATTACTTTAACATTAATTTCAGCACCATGGACAGCATGGGATGAGTGATAAGCCCATTATCAGTAGTCTAAAATCCCACTATTGCCCTGGTGTGAAGGACCTGGGCAACACTAGCCCTTAATGGTGGTTAACATCTCCTCCCACCCAGAGATAACTAACAGCCAACAACTGTCACAACCAAAGTCATTGTCACCACTGGTTTTCCTTGATTGGATTAGAAGGGGAAGGGATAGAACCTCATTAGGTTAATGGGAAATAAATGTCATTCTGCAGATTTTCACTTTACGGCAGAAAGATCCAAAATCTGACAAAGCTGGTGAATTATTAGCCAATAAATTTAAATGATGATTAGTGTTGTTTTGTGAAAAGATTGTCAGCCCATACACCATTTAATATTAAGACAAGTAAATTTAATGTGGTTGTTAAGCAACTTTCACTGGAGAGTTTCCAAGCACTTCTCAAGTATAGAAAAGTCTCATAGCTGCCTGGTATTGTTGGGGAGCACTGTGTTCCATCCCCAGGGCCTAGCACATTGCTTAGAATATAGTAGGTGCACAATAAATGATTGTTGGTGGGTTGGTTCCAAAGAAATAGACTTTCCATACAGCTGGAACATACTTTTTAAAGAACAGACTACTCCTTCCATTTCAGACATTTCTAATAGAAATATTTCAAAAAATACTATTGCTAATAGTCATTCAACAAACACTTAATGTTGTTGTCATCATTCAGTCATTTTGGTCATGTCCAACTCTTCATGACCCCATTTGAGGTTGTCTTGACAGAGATACTAGAGTGGTTTGCCATTTCCTTTTCTAGCTCATTTTCCAGATGACGAAACTAAGGCCAACAGGGTGAAATGACTTGCCCAGGATCACACAGCTAGTGTCTGAAGCTGGATTTGAACTCAGGTCTTAATCCTGTTGGCCTTAGTAAGCAAGAGTCAGGATTCACACCTAGGTCTCTGGCTCCTAAGTTGGCTCTTTGTATTCCTCAGAGGCCTGAATACAGAAAGACCTCAGTTGTATCTGTTGAATGGATGTGGGTAGGGATACAAGTGAATGACAATCAACATGACATATTCATTGGTAAGTATACAAGAATAAAAGAAATCCTAGTGAGTGGAGTGCCAGGTGAGTCACTGACAGCTGAGAAAGTCAGTACATCTTCTCAGTGGAATATGTCTCTTGAATGGAGCCTTCAACCAAGTTAGGGGTTTCAGGAGGCCAATGGAGGTAGGGACAGCATTCTGGGGGTGGAGGACAGCCTGGGCAAAAGCTGAAGACTTGAGATAGAATGGCATGTACAAAGATCAGTTAGCTGACCCTTAATCTCCACTTAATTATGAGAGAAGTGATTATTAATAACCAAGGATTTGGGGAGATTCAGATTTCTCCCTTTTTCTTTTATCCTCATTTCAAGACCACAATCTCTGAAACTTGAGATAACCTTCTCTATTCCAGACCCCACCCAGGTGGGGCAGCCACTGTGTTCCACTCAGGTTTGGGTGGAGATCACTTCTTTGAATAGACTGGCCCAAGGCTAGACCAACTAAGAAGTAAATGACATAATCAGAGTTCAGGTCCAGCCCCTCATTGTAATATTCATTCTGTCACTAATTGCTAGCCAATCAGAGTTGATTGCCATCCTGGGGATCGCGCTTCTTCCAAAAGGGCATATAAGCCGGAGCCCTGGGCCACAATTGTCTCTGGTCTAAGAGATGGCCAAATGACCATCCTTTTATTAAAATGCTGGCGTTATTAATAAGATGATTAAATTACTCAGAAATTACATCTCTCAGACTTTTGAAACGTCACAGTTATCTGTAAAATGAGCATGATAACCCCACTCAACAGGCTGTCCTAAGACTCAAAAGAGATGGTGTAATTAAACTGCTTTGCAAACATTAAAGCGGTTTGTTGACTTTATTGAGGGAATTGGGCTAAACACAAAAATCAGGTATTGTTGTTGATGTTGTTATTATTTTAATGAGGGGCCTCATGGAATTGAGGTGGGTTCAAATCCCGACTCTAACAATTCCACCATGACACTGGAGGACAAGTCACTTCACCTTGACTCTGGTAACTCCCTTAGCCTCATCAATTAAACCAGAAGGGCTGCAATCAGTGTTGGTGAAGGAAGTCCCTATAATGGGAGTTCCCCAGCACTGACAAAATTACAGATTTTTTTTTATATTATTGTGATTGCTTACTAAGAGCAAAGGGCATTCAGTCATCCTGGCTCACAGTCAGCAGCCCTCCCAGAGCCGCTCTCCAGGCCTAACCATAAATGTCCTGTCTTCATTTGCTCTCTACAATAGGGAGGGAGCTCCCCAGGACAATGGACGGTTCCCCTTGAGCTACCTGTTCACAAAGTGTCCCAATGAGGGTTTCCAAATCCTGCTTCTCATGGAGGACCATCTTCTTCTCCTCACTTTCCTGTTCCAACTGCATCTCCAGCTGCCGCAGCTGTGCACACAAGGAGAGAACATAAGGCAGGTGAGCAGAGAACATGGGCTCAAACCTTGATTCCTCATACAGTTCTGGACACAAAATAGGTGCTTAATAAATGCTTGTGGGAGGACTGGATGAATACATATATGGATGGGTGGATGAGCCATTTAGACTAGATGATCTCTAAATTGGAAGGAAGGAGGGAGGGAGGGAAGGAAGGAAGGAAGGAAGGAAGGAAGGAAGGAAGGAAGGAAGGA